CTCGAAGTCGATCGAAAAAGCCCGTTGTGACAACAAAACAAAAAAACAACGCCAAGATCTCAAGGTCCGCTCCACCCTATCCCTCACCACCGCCTGCCCACCAGTCGACGAGCGCGTTCCACGACTCGCAGAGTAACTGCTCGCAAATGGCCTGGATCCCCCGCCAGGGATCGACGATGAATTACGTCAGAGCAGAAAGGCGCTTTTTCGGACGTTTGCGAGTAGGCACTTTGCGAGCAATGGAACGCGCTCGGCGGGCCAGACCCGCCAGAGGGCGGCCAGCCCGGCCGGGAGGCGCCCTCTGACCCGGCGGCGGAGGGCGGCCGCAGCGCGGAGCTTGGTGCACACCAAGGGGAGGCGCGCCTCTCCCCGATGCTCCACCGAAGGGGCCCTGGGACACACAAACAGATACACACAAGTAACAGGACTCCCAATATCTCTCCATGTTCTCTGGGTTTTTGTCTCCCCCCCCCCACGTCCCATAGTTCCCGAGATTGTCGTGGGAACCGACGATTCATTGTGTCTGTGTTTTCGTTCCTTCCTGAATCCCTCGCCACCGCCTGCCCGCCAGACCCGCCGGACAAGGCGGCCAGCCCAGCCGGGAGGCGCTCTCTGACCCGGCAGCCGAGGGCGGCCGCGGCGCGGAGCTTGGTGAACACCACCGGGAGGCGCGCCTGGGCGCAGGGAGGGGGAGGTCAGCAGAGGAGGGAGAGAGGGAGGGAGGGAGGGAGGGAGGGGGGGCACTGAGGGAGGGAGGCACTGAGAGAGTGAGGGAGGGAGAGGGAGGGAGGGAGGGAGGGAGGGAGGGAGGAGGAGGAGGAGGAGGAGGAGGAGGAGGAGGAGGAGGAGGAGGAGGAAGTCCTCCGCCTCCTCGTTCTAGAAAGGTTCTAGAATGCGGAGGGGGGAGGGGGAGGTGAGCGGTCTAGGATGCGCTGTGCTGCTTAGATATTGGTCTTGATATCCGAGAGAGCGTGATCCACCGCCGCTTTACTGTGGAAAATTGCACCCCTTTTCCTCCGGAGCTCGGGGTTCCCCCGCCCGCCTCCGAAAATCTCCCCCCGCCCTGCTGGACCCCCCTCCCCCCCTCCCCCGGCAAAACCCCCCCCTCCCCCCCCCCCCCTCGAAAACCGGGAGGGGTCACTAAAACCCCCCCCCCCTCGAAAACCGGACCGGTTCGAACCCCTCCCAACCCCCTCCACTCACCGCCAGCAAACGACTCCCGGTCCCTACCACCGTCCGCGCCACATCCCCACTGCTGTTCCCAGCACCACTGTCCTCACCACCACTGTCCCCACTGGTTCCACCACCGTCCTTACTGTCCCCACCAGTGTTCCCACCACTGTCGCACTGTCCCCACTGTCCCCACCATTGTTCCCACTGTACCTCTGTCCCATTGTCCCACCGCCGTCCTCGCCACCGCCTTCACCACTGTCCCCACCACCACTGTACCCACTGGTTCCACCACCGTCCTTACTGTCCCCACCAGTGTTCCCACCACTGTCGCACTGTCCCCACTGTCCCCACCACTGTTCCCACCACGGTTCCACTCTCCCCACTTCCTCCACGGCCCCAACCACTGCCCGACGATCCCCACTGTCCCCACTGTCCCACTGACTCCTCCGCTGTCCCACTGAGCTGTCCCACTGTTCCCACCACTGTCCCCACTGTCCCCACCACTGTCCCCACTGTACCTCTGTCCCATTGTCCCACCGCCGTCCTCGCCACCGCCTTCACCACTGTCCCCACCACCACTGTACCCTCCACTGTCCCACTGTTTCCACCTCCCCCTGTCCCCACACCACTGTCCCCACCACCACCGTCCCCACCACTGTCCACTGTCCCCACTGTTCCCACCATTGTCCTCACCACTGTCCCCACCACTGCAGTCCCCACCACTGTCCCACTGTCCCCACCACTGTCCCGCTGTCCCCTCACCACTGTCCCCACCACCACCGTCCCCACCACTGTCTGCACCCCCCCTCGGTTTTCGAGGGGGGGGGGGGTTCGAACCGGTAGTAACCCCCCCCCCTTTTCATTATGAAGGGGCGGGGGCGAGGGGTTCGAACCGGTAGTGACCCCCCCCGGTTTTCTGGAGGGGGGGGGGAGGGGTTCGAACCGGTAGTGACCCCCCCCGGTTTTCCGCCAGCAGCGGTAGAACACGCTCTTTCTGATATCCGGGCAGCGCCCCGAAAAAGAGAAAAGCGCGAAACGTGCGACAAGTAGAACTTGCAAAAGCGCGAAAAATGCGAAAAGTAGAAACATTGAAAAATGCGAAAAATGCGAAACGTTGCGCGAAGCGCTCGAAAAGTAGAAAAGCGCGAAAATTGCGAAAGAGTAAGACAAGCGCGAAAATTGAGAGCAGCGAGGCGCTCGAGAGGCCGAAGAGCGCGAAGTGTTCGAAGGGCGCGCGGAAAGCGCAACAAAAACACAGAGCGTACTTCTCTACTTGTCACACTTGTTCGCGCTTTTCCACTGTTCACAATTTGTTACTTTCTACTTTTCGCACTTTTCTACTGTTCGAACTTTTCCCATTTGTTACACTTTTCTCATATGTCTTCGTCTTTTTTGTTTCGCACTTTTCTACTGTTCGCCATGTTCGCACTTCTCGACTTTTCTACTTTTCGCACTTTTCGCACGGATCGCACTTTTTCGCATTTTTCGCACTTGTCGCACTTGTAGCACTTGTAGCACTGTTCGCACTCTTCTACATTTCGCACTTGTCGCACTTTTTCGCAATGATTTGCATTTCCGCTTTTCTACTTTTCGCGCTTTTCGTCGCACTTTTCTACTTTTCGCACTTTTCGCGTCTTTGCCAGGATGCTTGAGACGCTGAGATAGCCGGATTAGATAATGTGGAAAACGTGCAAGAACCCTTGTGTGAGATCACAACCACCATCGACATCGGAACCGGGCAACACTCAAAACTGGCATCGCGACACTCACACCTGCAACGCAGCATCCCCTATCCCCTTCCATTCCTGCCCCTCACACTTCTGCGCTGCTAGTATCCATCCCTCGGCCCCTCTCCTCTCAACTCTCCCTGTCTCCGTCCCCCCTCTCCCGCCCTTCTTCTCTCTCCGGCTCGACCAGCTCCTTCTCCATATGAGTAGCTCCGCCCTGTCGCACGCCAAGGCGTGTTGGTAGGGCGTACGGGGCGTTTCGCCCGAGACCTCCGCATCGCTCTGGCACTGAAGCTTAGCATCTGCAACAGCTTCACGGATGGAGGGCGGGTCCTTTTCAAACATGGCTCTCGCCTTAGCTCCGCGCACAATCGTCGTCAGAGTCTGCAGCAGTTTCACGGATGTAAGGCGGGTCCTTTCCAAAATGTGATTCTCGCCTTAGCGTTGCGCACATTCGTCTGAAACATTTGCAAGAGCTTCACGGATGGAGGGCGGTTCGTGCTCAAAATGTTGGAAGCTCTCCCTTCGCGATGCGCACGTTCGTCTCGAAAGTTTGAATGCATATCACAGATGGAGGGCGAGTCCTTTTCAAAGTATGACTGTTGCCTTAGCGCCGCGCGCATTCGTCTGAAAAGTTTGCAAGAGCTTCACGGATGGAGGACGATTCCTTTTCAAGATGTGGCTCTGGCCTTAGCGTTCTGCATACTCGTCGTAAGAATTCAGCACGGGTTCAAAGAGTCTTATGGCTGACGTCCGAGAACCTGTTACGTCGTTGGCACGATGTAGGATTGTCAGGGCGCAACAATCGCGTTAATTCGCTTTGCCGAAGTCCCAGCAATCGTGCTCTGGCAAGATTCTGGATCGTCGGAGCGCAACAGTAACGTGGACTCACGGCGCCCAGTAATTCTGTCTTCGCACGGTTGAGGATTTTCAAACGGTTGCTCCATAATGAGGCTTGCGTAAGGGGGTCTTACTTGGTTGAAGGTTGTTATTTCGGGGGGCTACTTTGCCCGTTGCCCAGAGGTTCCTCGGGTTCCTCGGGTTCTTCGGGTTCCTCGGGTTCCTCGGGTTCCATGATTTCCGCGGGTTCCCCGGGTTTCTCGGCAATGCCAAGCAATCCCAAGCATGCCAAGCAATCCAAAGCAATGCCAAGCAATGCCAACCCATGCCAAGCAATGCCAAGCGATGTGCCCAGCGGTGCGCCTATGCAATAGGCTTTCACCGAATTAGGGTCGCGCTGGGTTCATCTTCCAACGGGGCACTTCCCGATTATTTATTGCACGATCGTTGAGCTTTGGGTTTGCACTGATCCTCATCCTCCTTCTTCTCGTCCTCCTCCTCATCATCCTCCTGTCCATCCGACGCCATCCTCCGATTTCATTCTCCTCCACCTGGTCGGCAAACTTAAATCGACTGGGAGCGTACATAGCGTTCTCTTCCTCCTCCACCGCCGCCGACGACGACGACGGCGACGGCGACAACGTTCCTCCCATCATCACCTTCCTCACACTCCTCCTCCTCCTCCTCCTCCTCCTCCTCCTCCTCCCTCCTCCTCCTCCTCCTCCTCCTCCTCCTCCTCCTCCTCCTCCTCCTCCTCCTCCTCCTCCTCCTCCTCCTCCTCCTCCTCCTCCTCTCCTCCTCTCCTCCCTCCTCCTCCTCTCCTCCTCCTCCTCCTCCTCCTCCTCCTCCTCCTCCCTCCTCCCTCCCTCCTCCTCCTCCTCCTCCTCCTCCCTCCTCCTCCTCCTCCTCCCTCCTCCTCCTCCTCCTCCTCCTCCTCCTCCTCCTCCTCCTCCTCCTCCTCCTCCTCCTCCCTCCTCCTCCTCCTCCTCCCTCATCATCATCACCCGACGCCGACGACGGTGGAGAACGTGCCGCGCGGCCCCCGAATCTCCGAGGGACCGCACGGCAGGCCACGGAAAACGCGCGCGGGCGGGCGCCGCCGCGGCCCGGCCCACCGAGGCGGCGAGTGCTGGGCCGAGGCGCCGCAGAGACGAGGGGCTTTTGCAGGGCACGACGGCGACGGCGACGACGACGACGACGACGACGACGACGACGGCGACGACGACGACGACGACGACGAGCTGGACGTGGCACGGGCGCCGCCCCCGGCTCGCCTGCACCCTCCGCGGGCCCGCGTCGGGCAGCCGGAACTGCGCCCGCAGCCACGGCATCTCCGCGAAGGGGCCCGCCAGGGACACGCGCACGCGCTGGAGCGCCTCGGCGGCACGGGAGGGGGGGGGGAGGGGGTGGAAGGAGCAGGGGGGTGGAGGAGGGGGAGGAGAGGGGAAGGGGGCAGGAGGGGGAGGGAGTTGGGAATGTGCAGGGGGGTGAAGATGCAGGTCGGTCGCTTGGTTGGTTGAACCCTTGCGGATCAAGAGTGCGCCCGCGGGCACGACGGGGAGGCGGGAGGCCAGAGAAGGGGCGGCGGGGAAGAAGGAGATCGAACGAGCGAGGCGCGGTTCCGGGTACGTGCTGCGAGGCGCGCGTTCCGGGTACGTGCGGCGAGGCGCGCGTGCCTGTGCCCGTTTGGGGGACAGGGCGCGCTGAGCCACAGCCCCATCGGGCGCGGCAAGACTGCTAAGCCCACGCGAAGGCCACCATGGTTGTCGTGCTGCGTGTAGCCAAGCAGCGCCGTTGATGTCGTAATGCTGGTGGCGTCGCGGCCGCGCGACGTCGCTAGCGTCGTGCTGTGTGCCGTTGCCGTCGCGCGGGCCCAGGCTGACTAAGAGCTTTCGCGTCTCGTCGCGCCATCGTTTTTGTTGCCCACCGCGACGTCTCCACCCTCGTGGTCAGATATCTGGCTGGGGGTCTACTTCGACGCTCTTCGTGCCCAGCGGTCCGTCGGCATGGAAGGGAAGGGGATATATGGAAGGGAGAGGGGAAGCAGAGGCGAAGGAAACTCTGGGGCGTGGGAGGGGAAGTGATGAGAATTGACTGGACGGACGGGAGGAACGGGATAGAGGAGAGGGAGAGAGTGAGGGAGACGCGATCTGAGCAGCGAAGGGAGAGACGGGAGGAAATGAAGAGCAAGGAAGCGGAAAGAGGGAGGGATTGGGAGGAGGGGGGGGCGAAAAAAGCAGGGGGGCAACGGGACGGATGTCAAGAGCGAGAGGCACAGAAAGAGAGACAGAGAGAGACCCCTGAATTAAAGGGAGAGAGAGAGAGGGAGGGAGAGAGACGCACAGACAGAAAGACAGACAGACAGACGCGTGAAGACAGTCTTTCCACACCGCAGGAGCATTGGCAACGAGGCACGCAGACCCGCACTAGCAGACAGACAGACAGACAGACAGACAGACAGACAGACAGACAGACAGACAGACAGACAGACCGACGGACAGACAGACAGAGAGACAGACAGACAGAGAGACAGACAGACAGAGAGACAGACAGACAGACAGACAGACAGACAGACAGACAGACAGACAGACAGACAGACAGACAGACAGGCAGGCAGGCAGGCAGACAGACAGAGAGACAGACACACGGACACACAGACAGACAGACAGGCAGGCAGGCAGGCAGGCAGGCAGGCAGGCAGACAGACAGACGGTCCGAGACCCCCCCCCTCGGAGAAGAAAAGACAACAAACGGCAGGGTCTGGCAAGGGAGAGCGTCGCCGCGCTCTCTGGCCCTCCCCAACGCCGCGCCTGCTGACCTGCACCGAGCTGCGGCTCCACCTTCGGAGGAGGGATCGGCGCGGCTCTCCCACCTCCTCAGGGTCATCCCCTTCGTCGCAGTCACCATGGTCATCATCACCATCATGGCCACCTCCTCCTCATCCCTCATCCCCTTCGTCTTGGTCATCATCGCAATCATTGTCCTTAACACTCCCCCTCTCTGCTCCCCGTTTCCACCCACATCTCCAGCTCACCCTCTGCCCTCCGCTACCTCCCCCCTCTCCTCACCCCTGCCCCCCCCCCATCCCCTCCCACTTCCTCTCTCTTCCCCTCTCTTCTCTCGCCTTTCCAAGCTCCGCCTGCCACTACCCCGGTCTCCCCCCTTCCCACCCCGTCGCCTCCCTCACCCGTGCTGCCCCTGCTCCCCGCTTCCGCCCCCCCCGGCTTCCGCGACCACCTTTCCTCCCCATTGCCCGCATCCCCTCCCGATCCCCCGCCTGCTCGGCGCGCAACCGCAGAACCCGCTCTTCGGGCACGTGGTAGTACACGGCGAACGCCTGAGGGAGGCCCCCTCGTTCCGCCAACAGCGTCAGCCCCACCCGCCGGCTGGAAACGCGCGCGCGCGCCCTGCGAGCGCGCTCAGGCTCTGTGTATCGCGGTGGAGAAGGGGAGGGGGGGGCAGATGAGGGGGGGAAGGAGGAGGTGAAGAGGAGAGACGGATGGGGATGTGAAGGGTAAGGGAGGGTGTAGAAGGGGCCCAGGGGGAAGGGCGGATGGAGAGAGGAGGAAAAAGGCAAGGTAGGTGAAGGGAAGCGGGCTGGAACAAGGGTGAGAGTGTGCGGGTTAGTGAGGGCAGGGGCAAGGAACTGTGTTTTTTTTTCCGAGGGAGGGAGGAGTGGGGGTCGGAGAGGAAGGGGGGGAGGGCAAGATAGGTGCGTACGCACCACATTTGAAATCCTACCCTTCACACCCATCCCTGACCATTGTATCGAATGCTGTTGTATCAACCGGCCGGGGTGTACTCGAGGACCTTGCTGCCCGAATGGCCGTTCGCAGCTGAAGAGGGAAAAGGCGGATGGGGATGGAGAAAGAGGGAGAGAGAGAGAGAGAAAGAGAGAGGCAGAGAGACAGAGAGAGAGAGAGAGAAATAGACATACATACATACATGATTAGAGGAAAGAGGAGGAAAAGAGACGGGGACGAGGGAGACCCTTCTCATCCTGCGCTCCTCCTGCTCCTTCCCCGCTGGTGTTCTGGTGTTTGTTCAGGCTCCTTGCTGCGTGTTTGAAGACTGTGATTGCACCTCTTGCGGTTGCCGTACTCTTCCTCCTCCTCCGCCTCCTCCGCATCCCCCTCCCCTCTTCTCATCATCCTCCTCATTTCCTCTCACTCATACTCTTGCTCAATCTCCCCCTTGTACTCCCCCTCGTGATGAAACTGCTTATCGTCCTCCTCTCTTCCCATCCCCCCCACCCCACCACCCCACGCACGCCACGTCATGTTCGTCGTCGGCCTCCTTTTCCCCCACCTCCTCCTCCGCCTCCTCCTCCTCCTCTTCCTCCTCCTCCTCCTCCTCATCGTACGATTTTTTCTGCAATCGAAGCTGTCTTGCCGACCCTCCTCCATCAATACCCAATTGCTGGAAATAATCGCCATGCACCCTGCAACCGCGAGAAGTTCGCAGATACAGTCTGAGAAAAAGTTGGAAACACACTTTCGCACTTCTCAAATGTGTGCATTTGCGCACGTGCTATGTCCAAGACAACCCCAAGCAGTCACATGGCGCAGCGCACGCACGCCGAACCGACGTGGGCGAACCACTCGGCTAACATGCTGCGCCGCTTGGATCGCGACTAGGCGGCGGCCCTTCCGTTGTCGAACCACCTTGAGACTCTCCGAGCCCAGATGACATACGTAGCACCCCGCAATTGCGGATAAGAGTGAGGGGGCGGGCGCGGACGACGCGGGCGTCGAGCTGGCGGACCGCTGCAGGCGCCGAATGTTTGGCTTGTTCAGTAAACGTAGTTTGGGTCGCGGGTGGGTCGCGGGCTCTCCACCTCCATCTGGAAGGAATTCAACAAAAACAACCCGCCGCAGGCGCCGAACATTGTGAGTTGTACACTGAACGCGGTTTGGGTCGCAGGTTCTCCACCTGGAACGAATGTAAAAGAAGCCCGTCGCAGGCGCCGAAGTTTGGGCTTGTTCAGTGAACGTAGTTTGGGTCGCGGGTGCGTCGCGGGCTCTCCACCTCCACCTGGAAGGGATTCAAAAACAGCCCGCCGCAAGCGCCAAACAAATTGATTTGTACACTGAACGCGGTTTGGGTCGCGGGTGGGTCGCAGGTTCTCCACCTGGAACGAATGCAAAAAAGCCCGTCGCAGGCGCCGAAAATTTTTAGTGGGTGGCGGGGTGGGTCGCGGGCGCGGTTTGGGTCGCGGGTGGGTCGCAGGTATTCCACCTGGAACGAATGCAAAAGAAACATGCCGCAGACGCCGAAAATTTTGTGTGTGGGTCGCGGGGTGGGTCGCGGGTGGGTCGCGGTGGGTCGCGGGTGGGTCGCGGGTGGGTCCCAGGGTGGGTCGCGGGAGGGTCGCGGGTGGGATGCGGGTGGGTCGCGGGTGGGTTGCGGGTGGGTCGCGGGTGGGTCGCAGGGTGGGTCGCGGGTGGGTCGCGGGGCGGGTCGCGTGTGGGACGACGACAACAACAAATAACAAACAACAAACAACAAACAACAAACAACACACAACAAACAACAAACAACACACAACACACCACCACAACAACACCAATACAAACAACAACAACAACAACAGCAGCAACAACAACAACAACAACGACAGCAATAACAACAACAACAACAACAACAACAACAACAACAACAACAACAACAACAACAACAACAACATCAACAACAACAACAACAGCAGCAACAACAACAACAGCAACGACAACGGCAACAACCATTTTAAGACTGTTCGCCCTTATCTGCTCGAGTGTCGAATAGCGCCTAGTTCCCAAACCCTCGATACCCGCCCTTTTCGTCTTCGATCGAACCCCTTTTGGGGGGTATACCTTTCTTCCCTGCAGGCCGGGCCCCGGCAAGCGGCGGGGCGGCCGCGGACCCTCGGCCTGGCCAGCGGCAGCGCTGATCGGCGGGGCGGCCTCGGACCGTCGACCCGACCCCAAGAGGGACGAACAGGGGACCGACCACGACGACGACGACGACGTCGACGACGACGGCGACGAGCGAAAGCGAGAGCGAGAGAGCACGACAGCAGGGCCACGAAGGACACGAAGTAGGCCACGAAGGGCAACAGCGGGGACACGAAGGGAATGCGTATGGGGCCACGAAGAGCGCGAACGAGCGTGGGCCACGAAGGGCAGATAACGCGGGGCCACAGAAGGCAACGACGGGGCCACTGAGGGTAGCAACTGGGCCACGTAGGACATATGCATATGGGGCCACCACGGGCGCGAACGAGCGGGGCCACGAAGGGCATACATATATGGGGCCACGAAGGGCAGCGAAAGGGGCCACGAAGGGCTGCAACGGGGCCATTCAGGGCAGCGAGGGGGCCACGAAGGGCTGCAACGGGGCCACGAAGGGCTGCGACGGGGCCACGAAGGGCAGCGAGGGGGCCACGAAGGGCTGCAACGGGGCCACGCAACAAAACGAGGGGACCACGAAAGACTGCAACGGGGCCACGAAGGGCAGCGAGGAGGCCACGAGGGGCTGCAACGGGGCCACGAAGAGCAGCGAGGGGGCCACGAAGGACTGCAACGGGGCCACGAAACAAAGCGAGGGGGCCACGAAGGGCTGCAACGGGGCCACGAAGCAAGTCTCCAGCGAGAGCGCGACTCCAGAGCGCCAGGATAATAAATTCTAAGGAAGTCCTAAGCGAGAGCGCGATTCCTAAATAAAACGCGAGGAAGTCTCGGGCGGGAGCGGGGGTCCTGGCTAAATTGTGGGGAAGTCTCAGGCGGGAGCCGCTGTTTTTGTAAAGTGGGGGCCAACGACACAATTTGACCCTCAAGACTTTCCCTGATACAAAAACAGAGTGCGAGCACCGAGAAGGGCCCTTCAATCGAAATCAACAATGTGCACCAGACGGGGGGGATCAACAATAATTATTCTTCAGAAGTGAGAGCTCAGCAACAACAACAACAACAGCAGCAACAACAACAACAGCAACTATCATTTTAAGACTGTTCGCCCTTATCTGCTCGAGTGTCGAATAACGCGAATTTCCCGAACCCTCGATACCCGCCCTTTTCGTTTTCGATCGAACCCCTTTTGGGGGGTATACCTTTTTTCCCTGCAGGCCGGGCCCCGGCAAGCGGCGGGGCGGCCGCGGACCCTCGGCCTGGCCAGCGGCAGCGCTGATCGGCGGGGCGGCCGCGGACCGTCGACCCGACCCCAAGAGGGACGAACAGGGGACCGACCACGACGACGACGACGACGACGTCGACGACGACGGCAACGACGGCGACGGCGACGGCGACGAGCGAAAGCGAGAGCGAGAGAGAACGACAGCAGGGCCACGAAGGACACGAAGTAGGCCACGAAGGGCGACAGCGGGGACACGAAGGGAATGCGTATGGGGCCACGAAGAGCGCGAACGAGCGTGGGCCACGTAGGGGCAGATAATGCGGGGCCACAGAAGGCAACGATGGGGCCACTGAGGGTAGCACCTGGGCCACGTAGGACAATGAGGGGGCCACAAACGGCGACAGCGGGGCCACGAAGGGCATGCACATGGGGCCACAACGGGCGCGAACGAGCGAGGGCCACGAAGGGCATACGTATGTTGGGCCGCGGAGGGTAAGGACGGGGCCACTGAGGGCAGCAACGGGGACACGAAGGGCAGCGAGGGGGCCACGAAGGGCGACAGCGGGGCCACGAAGGGCATGCATATGGGGCCCCCACGGGCGCGAACGAGCGAGGGCCACGAAGGGCATACATATATGGGGCCACGAAGGGCAGCGAAAGGGGCCACGAAGGGCTGCGACGGGGCCACGAAGGGCAGCGAGGGGGCCACGAAGGGCTGCAACGGGGTCACGAAGGGCTGCAACGGGGCCACGAAGGGCAGCGAGGGGGCCACGAAGGGCTGCAACGGGGCCACGAAACAAAGCGAGGGGGCCACGAAGGACTGCAACGGGGCCACGAAGGGCAGCGAGGAGGCCACGAGTGGCTGCAACGGGGCCGCGAAACAAAGCGAGGGGGCCACGAAGGGCTGCAACGGGGCCACGAAGGGCAGCGAGATCCCGATTCCTATGTAATTTGTGAAGGAGTCCTAAGCGTGAGCGCGACTCCTGGGTGCCTGGGTGTCGGGAGCGCGGCGCTGGAGGAAATTGCAAGAATTTCCAACGCAAGGGCGCTATTCTTCAGTAAATTGCAAGCAAGTCTCCAGCGAGAGCGCAACTCCAGAACGCAGGAGGAGCGATTCCTGGAAAAAAACGTAAGGAAGTCCCAAGCGAGAGCGCGATTCTTGAATCAAATGCAAAAGTCTCGGGCGGAAGCGGGGGTCCTGGCTAAATTGTGGGGAAGTCTCAGGCG